GGGCGGAGCCCCGCAGGCCCCCGGGGGTTGGGGAGCGGCGGCGGGACCCTCCCCTGCCCCGGGCTGGGGTCGGCGTTGCCTCCGCCGTTCCCTCCAGCGGGCGGGGGACACCGCCGGGGAAGGGTCCCCTTGCTGTTCCTGTAGCAAAAGGCCTCGGGGTGCCCGGCGTATTCGGGTGGCGTTTTGGGGATGCTCCTGAATGCGCAGGGAGCAGCACGATTTCCACCCCTCATCCCCTGAGCTGAGACTCCTGCACTCCCAGAGCTCCCACCTTCTCCTGCACACCCTGACCGATCGGTACAGGGACCAAAATGTGTCACCGGCAACATTTTTAGAGAACTTCAAGTACTCCAGGGTTTATCTCTTTCAGGTAAACTTGTAATCACAATTTTCTGAAGGTCTGTTCTCCCTCTCAGCCACTCCACTAAAAAGTCCATGTCCAAATTTCTCCTCCCCAGAAGCACACCAACAGGAGTTAACGGAGACCCTGCTCCCACACAGCATCAACTTGCTTAAGCATCACCATCTTCTCCACCTTCAGTTGTCTCCACTGTAAGTAACGTAGGGATAATCTATTAAAAAGAGGGATGGCTCAGAAGAATGGCTCAGGTAAGCTTTGGGCAAGTTGTCTAGACTTTGTAAGTCGCTTTCCATCAGTCAACTGTGGACCAGCGATGTTGCAAGTAGTGATTAATTAGGTGCTGTTGGCACTTTGAGTGAGGTTCATTAAATTCTGCGTGTGTTGGGCTACCCAGTGAAACAACAGGAGGGAGCTGGTCAGACAAGCAGGCTTCTCAAAGGGCACCCTGGAAGTTGCTGAAAAGTTGTCATTGTATCTCAGAACAGCAACAAATACCACTTAAATAAAAATCAGTTCCAAAATGTGGGCAAGAGTGAAAAGCCAGAGACTGTTGCAGCAAACGTTAGAAGTGGTTTTCAGACCTTGCCATGCAAGGTGTTGCCTCCATCTCAGTGGTGGATTGGGGTCATTTGAACTTGGTGTTAAGTGGAGCTTTCCCTCTGGGGTTGTGCTCAGGAGGTAGAGTCTGCTGGTTGGGTCTCACCAGTCTGGCCCAGTTTTTTCACTCCCCTCCACCAGAAGGCCCTCATCCTTGTTTGTTTGCGTCCTTCCTGCTCTTCACCTGACTGGGCTGAGTCACTGTAAGATGAGAAAGAACTGATCTGGTGTGATTGTGGAAGGTTTCAGAAGATCTGAACCTCTGTACCTCTTGGCTTGCTGGAAGAGAGGAGGGGAATCTGAAGAGGAGGGAGATGGGACTTCCCTAGGAAAATTGGGCTAGTCGCGTTCTGCAAGACCTGGGAGGGATCCAGGACAGAGAAACTCACAGGCTGCTAATGGGCTTAGTAAGACCTCACTTTCCACGCTGCCTTTTCAACATCTGGGCTTCTGGCCAGGTTGTGCCCAAACTTTTGGCAGAATGCCCTGGAATTACCAGCCAGGCGGCTTTCCTTGTGCCCTGGCTTGTGAATCTCTGCCTCCTGGCATGCTCTGCCCCCGGGGCTTCTGCTGGGGGCTCTGTCGCTGGTCCCCCCACCCTGTCTGCTCCAAACCTAGTGATCTGTTCACCCTGCTGGGGGAGGGACCCTCGGTAGTGGGCCCACACCTGCTCCATCTGATGGCCACTGGCCAGGGCTGTACTTGCCATACTCCTGCTGCCCCATGGTGGCTGTCCCCAGGCTAAGTCTAAGCCTTAGTCCCCTCCTGGCATGCCACATGGTTCCCTCTGGCTGGAGCGGTTTCCTTCGGCTCTTGTTGCTCTGGCTTCATAACAGCTTTTTGGTTTTGTTTTTTTAGAAACCTGCCCACGGACACGCACAGAGCCAGAGCAATGGTGACAGTTTATTTCCTTCAAAAGAGGAGCTGGTGAAGTGAAACCGTGCTGAATCCTCATGCAGTCCGTAACAATTACCTGCTGTGCGTTTGACCTTGCTGAGTGAGACAGGGGTTATGAAGCTGAACTACAGCTTGAGGTGGCCACACAGCATCCTGTCCCAGGACAGCTGTCTTCTCTGCTAAGCCCTCTGTAAGTTGCTGTTCTGCCAGGTGCATGTGGATGTGCTAAAGCAGCAGGATGGCATCTCAGCCTGTTGGTCCTGCCAGCCGGGGCACAAATGTGTGCCACAGCACTTTTGTTACTGAATTCAGTGCTGAATTCAGCACTCGGCCCGCTTGCGAAGGTGCAAAGTGTTCACAAGATGGTCTTCTGCTTCCCATCAGCCTTTCCTTGTCTCGGAGCCAGCACATTGTCCTTCTCCCCCATGGAGAAGTATGTGATACGGGGAGATATCCCCCCACTGAACCCAGATAAACAGCTGCACATCAAAACCTGTGATTTGCAGCTGAAGGATTATTCCCCTCCCTTATCACTACCCAAAAAAAAAGAAAAAAAAAAAAAAAAAAAAAAAAAAAGAAAAAAAGAGGTAAAATCAAATCCTAAATGTAGAAATGCTTAGGAAAGAGCAACAAGTAAAGGACTGAGTGATTAACAGCTTCCCAGACTCTCGGGGATCTTTGCTGCCGGCGTGCACTTACAGAGGCAGAGCCAGTGTGTGGCTCAGGGGGTAGAGCCGTGCTCTCTCCCTCTCCCGTGTAAGGACACAGATAATGGGACTGCGTGTGAATAGGACTGTGGTCCAGATTTCAATTTCCAATTATTTCCTCCCTCCGCACTCCCTCTTTCTCTCCTCACCCTGTTATCACCCGTTCGTTGTTACTCACATCCCTCTTTTTTCTTTTTTTTTTCTCTCTGCCTGTTATTATCTCTTACCCTGGATGCTGCATCCGTGCCTCTCTCCTGCTTCCCTTCTTCCTGGGGCCGTCAATTCTCCATTTTATCTAAGGCGCCGCAATACGCAGTGTCCTTCCTGCTGCCGAGGCCTGTAAAAAAAGAGAAGAATTTCCAGCTGTCGTTATTAAAAACACCTTGTTCCACAAGCAACAGAACTAATGAAGCTGGGTTTCCTGTGGCTTTGTCTCTGGCTCACTCCTTGCTATAACCTCATCTCCCATTTCTCTTTCATGTCCGATGTGACACCTCTTCTCGGTGGCGAGAGGCAGCAGACACTTGCTGGTCCAGAGTGACAGGGATCTGCCCACACTACCGGGCACAGCCCTGAACAGCTGAGTTCCCCCTGTACCTCTCTGTTGGAAAACTGATGTGAGTCTCTAGTCACTGATGCTCACAAACCACTGGGAACTTAATTATCTTTGAGGCTTCTACCTCTTTTATTCATTTGTTTGCAACTAGCCAGTGCGTTCTGACATCTTTATGGGCAGATAAACAGCCAGATGGTTGGTATCAGCCTTTAGGAAGGAAGGTTGTTGGCCCGTGGCCATGGAGATAACCTGAGAGCAACCCAAAAAGGAACCTCAAATCCTTTAAAATGACTAAAATTTCACTTTATCTGTGCAGAAAATTTTGTCTGTGTGCCCACAAGTCCAAGCAATCTCATTACATCCTGCTTGAGGATCTCCTGCATCTCAGCTCTCTTCTGAAAGATGGGGAGGGGGGAGAAAGGGTAAAGGATTCCTCCTCCTGTGAGCAGCAATGCATCTGCTGTCCCACTGAGCGGCTGTAGTTGAGATTGGGTCTGCTCTACCACCTCTGCTACCACCATCCTTTGTAAGAAATTTATGTCGATAAAGGGAAATCAAAGAGCAGAGGAAGAAGGACACTACCTGAATGGTTCTCATCTCTTGGTTAAGATGTAGACAAGGGCTCTACAAGACTTTCTCATTCTCCATCTGAGCACCGGGCAGCATAAGGTCTTCAGTTCCTAATCAGGGCACCACATCGTCTTTTGCCAGTGACTGAAATGACCCAAATATACATATTTATATTTTCACAGTCCATAAATCACCCTGGGATCTACTTTTTCTGGATGAAAAGTGCCAGATAAATCTAATGTGTTATTATTAGATTTTTGAAATGTCACTGTGTGCATCCTGACTTTCATGTCCTTTGCACCAAACTCACATGGCAGATCCATTTGTCTATATTGGGTTTTTTTTTGTGGTTGATGGATTTCTCAGTGTCCATTTTCCAACAATATAGATAAAAAATGTTTAAGGGTAAAATAACTTAAGGTTAATCATATGATTCCCTTCATTTTTTATTTTTTTTTTTGATGCTGGAAAACATTTGAGCCACCCATAGCAGGTGTTTTTTGGTATTTTCTAATCAATCCTCACTTGGTACATTTGTTTACACCTGTGAAAAATGTTCCTCAGTCAGATTTTTACTTTTGTTTAGTTTAGTAGACATTCTGCATATACTTGGCTACAGATATAAATTGCTGCACAAAGGCATGAGATAGAAAACCAGCAGGCCCTGGATACAATTTCCATGTGGAATCCACAGAAAACCTTATATGGATGTATGCAATGTCTATATGCGTATGTATAACTATTACAAGTAGCAGCCCTTGCACTCAAGACTAGATGTTCTGATATTGCCCTTGTTGTACCCAATTGTGTGTGAGCCCAGTTAAGAGATATTTGGGTAATGAAGAGGTTCATACAGGCAATGTTTGCATTTTTTAATGCTACCTTGAATTTTCTGAGGAATTTAATTTCTTAAAAAAAGCCAACAAAATATGATAAGAAATTTCAGCAGAAAGTTTAGTGTTGTTTTAAAATGTAGTTAAAATGAAAATGAATGTAAAATGTTGCCAACTAATATTTGGCCCTGCCCTTTTTTTCCTCCTCCTTTTTTGTTTAAATGGACCCTTCACAAACACACATACACACCTGTACATATATAAACCAGACAAACCAGCATTTCCAACTTTAATTAAAGCAGCTGCCTAGCGAAGTTCCAAAGCCACTGCTCTGCTATCATGAAGTAACAATTCATTGTAACCACAGCCAATATACTTAGACTTGATGTTATTGCTCATTCTGCAACTAGTTGGAGAACTGGCTATTTGAATTAGTTAACTGCCATGCATGCTGTGATAAATATATCTATATTGTAAAAAAAAAATAATAGAATCTCATTATCTACTAATATTTGAAATAGTTTTATTACGGAGAGCTAGGCTGTGGGAAGACAATTACAAGTAAGAGTGCATGATTACAGTATTCTGTTCAGGAGTGGAAAATCAGATTCAGCTATTTTATGCTGGAAATAATGCATCTTTTTACATCAGTAACCTCAGATAGTGTATAATTAACATTTTCCGAACATATATGGCAGGAATTCTGTGTTTATATTATTCGAGTGTTAAGGACTATAGTAGTTAAACATACGGCTAAAATAGTAGGAGTTTAATATGGTACAACAGAGTTAGAGAAGCATTTATCATGTAAAAAGTCTTAAATCAATCAGAATTCATCGATGACACATCAGCTAAGATAGAAAAAATAAGGTATTGACTACTACCACAGAGGCTGTATTTTACCTTTTTATTCGTAGGAAGATTTCCACGATAATGTGGGTATTTTAAATGACTAGCTGAGCTTCCGTCATGTGATGGCAACTAATCAATAAATCATGTGTCATTGTTGTGGCTCAGCATGTCAAATAGCTGCATTTCAGTGTCCATATTTACAGGTTTTGAGCAATTTTTTTGTTGTACGTTTCTAGCTCATTAGCCCTGATTTTAAAAGTGGTTATTTTCATGTCAATGAAATTGATAGAAAAATCACGTCTTATCTGTCTCTGCCACAGGGAGGAGACGGAATAAGGTAATCAACAGGAAACTTCAGTTATTTAACACTGCTTGCCACCCCGTGTGGGTTTACTAAAGCAGCTTTTCCTCAAGAGCGACGTGAAAAATAAATGCACAGCATCCTGCTAGACACACTGGACGTTTTGATGCTCACGGGAGATGGTAAAAAGAAGAGTGTTTTCGAAAGCAGCTTTTGGCATCCACAAAGCATGAGGTTTGTGCTGAGGTCTGGGACATCCGACTGAAATGATTTTCATTAGATAACAGCACGAAGATGGACTAATAGGGATTTGATTACCCTGCCTGCCTCTGATACTTTTGGCTACCAAAACTCCAGCACATTCTCAGCCTGCCGTATGTATAGTGCCCTATGTATAGAGCAGGTGAACTGGCTGCCCAGTACACATCCACAGCTCTGGTTTCAGAACCGTGGCATACAGCTGAAAAAGCATTAACCTTTGTTATGATCTCCCATTGCCATTAATCACGTTTCGAGCGCCTTTGCCACCGTGTCAGAGTACCTAAAGAAATGTTCTTGATGAAGGCAGTCGGTTCACTTGGACTCCGGCCAGAATAAAGCCGTGTTTGTCCTCAGAGAGATGCTACAAAGAACTGGCCACAATGCGGTCGCTCTCTTTTGTCTGCAGTAAACAGCCCTCCTTCATCAGGATATTGCAAAATCTCAGTGTAGTCATCGCATCAGTCTCAAAAATGCATATTTTTCTTTCATGTTTTAGTTTATTAGAAGGTTAAGTTATTTTCTTCTGAACAATGACTCAGGATGTAATAACCTCCGTGTTTATCACAGGCATGCCAGATCACTGGAACTCAGGCAATCTGAAGTGAATTGTGAGAGTTTGTGTAGGTTTCCACAAGTACAAAACTCAGATGCTCAGTTTTTGCAATGGTTCTGGTTTATCTGTATAAATATATATATATATGTGTGCATCAAGTCCGTGCTAGTATTCCTTCCCTGGATGCAGTGTAAGGAAGCCTGGGTCTTCACTTGTGAAGCGATTAATAGTTGAGGCTGCAACTGTATTTCACTCTAATAATTCTTGCAGAAACTGTGCTCCTCTGGGACAAGGCAGGACACAAAGTCTGGTATAAAATTTGTGAGACCTGAATAAAATTCAGTCTCATCAAATCAGCTCTGGAACTGTCTTGCACAGTGGCTCAGGCAAATCAGGAATTTGTTTGCCTTTTAGATAGTTCTGAATGTTTCTTCCCTTCAAGACAACTTTTGCAGCATAAATGCATTTCAGTTCGGATTTCTCATGAAAAGGAGGAAAGGTGTTGACGCCCAGCCATAGCCAGGGTGGTGCCTCCTCCCAGGGCTCGTCGCACAAAGAGGCACCATTGGGTGCAGAAGGACCACCCCAGTGTCCCTCTGTGCCGCGTGGTCTTTCTGCTGGGACCACATCCATTGTGCACTCTCATGCAAGGGGTTTGACTGACCCAGAGGGCTGGAGAGGACCTCTGGGGTACCTAGGACATAACCCCAACCTGGAGCAGTATCCCCTACACCTGTAGGAAAGTTTTGATGTGCTTGGCCCCTTCTATTAAAAATCTCCAGTGAGGGAGGTCCGAGGATTTTGCATGCCATGTATCTACTGCTTAACTGTTACTGTGATCCTAATAACCCAGCCGAATCTTCCTTGCTGCAGATGAAATACTTGGCTCGTTATGCTAACAAGGATGCTGAGAACAGGTAGGTTGTTCCTGCCTCTTCACAGAAGCCCTTTGTGTATTTGAAGACTGTGATTAAACCTGTCAGCCTTCATTTCTTTACACTCCCCCTCCCTCGCTCATTCAAACTTCTCATGTAGGCTGAGTTTTCTAGGTCCTTGATTATTTTCTGGACTTGTGAAAGTTGGCAGCTTCCTCCTTGAACTGCAGCACGTGAAGCTGACCATGATCCTTCAGCCGAGCCCTTACCAGCAATGAATGCAGTGGAAAGATCACCTGAGGTGCTCTGCAAGTTGTACGGCTGTTATATGAAATTTGGAAGTCTGAGCTAACAGGGCTGTGGGGACACGATGCACTGAAATGGAGGAGAATTGAGCCACGCTGGTAAGGGAGGAGCGGAGCCTTCCAGTAGATGGTTTTGCTTCTATAAGTATTTCAATGCTTTTAGTGAAGGTAAAGCCTATTATGATTAAATGACCAATGCCAATGTTATAGTACCCTGAAGGTGTTATTTAGTCTTGCTGAAATTGCTTTGTTTTGCTTTTAGCCTCCTTTTTTTTTTGTCCTGACGGAGGAGGAAAAGTATATAAAAGTAATAAAATATAACTTAAATTAAGTAGCAAAATAAGTGTCCAGGATGATAAATTTCACTACCATTAGAGAAAATAACCAAATGGACATGTAGAGGTCTAACCAGACCAAGCTATATTCCTTTTATGTGAGGGAGTTAAGCCAAGTCCTGCTTAGCTGCCCAGTGCCTGAACTCAAATACCCTGTCAGGGATGTGACTCCTGGGGCAGCCATCTCACACCCAGCAGCTCGGAGCCTGGGCAAAGGGTTTGGGTCTGACCTCATGTTCAATTTGAGACCTGCTAAAGCAGCAACTGGAGCTTGTAACCACCAAATCCCATCTCCAAAATCTCCACTCTAACTACACTGCAGCTACTTCTGGGGCCTCTCCCAAGCAGTACTCTCAGTGTGGTGCCGCACGGAACTGAGCAAATGAACACTAAGAGTAGCAAATGATGATTAATGAAACCTTGTCCCTCTGTTACACTGTCCTTCCCCTCCCAGCATGTCCTTGATAATTAATTTCTTCAGGAGGTGTTTCATATTACGGCTAAACTGGTCTAAGGTTCTCTTTCCATGACTGATGGGCTCCTTCCCCTTCCCCGCTTCTGTCCATGTAATCCCCCAGCATCTTTTGGTCCAGCTCCAGTACATATCTGATCCCATAATGAGCCTCTTCTGGGAGCCAACCATCAGAAAACAACAAGAAAAAGTGATGTATTTTTTTTCTGCTTTCAGAATGGCTGATGATAGCGCTCCCACAGCTGGTTCACCACAAGGTCAGGATGGTGCCAGCAGCAGCACACAGATTTAGCATGGAGTGAGGGAGTGGGACATGGAGGCAGCAAACCAATGAGTCAGCCTCAACACCCCTTCTTGCTGTCAGAGGGGAAAAGAAGTCACGGGAAGCAGTCACCAGGTGCTTCATTTCACTTCTGAAACCTGTGTTTTTAACAATATGTGAGCTCCAGCTCCTACATTCCTCTGAAGTTGCAGCTGTCTGTGCTGGAAGTAGGTGGGAGGCTTAAGAATGAGAATGTTCCAAAAAGGCAATGCGGTTTTAATCCTTCTTTGATCATCTATTTTTCTATTTTTCTGTTAGATTCCCCAAGCCCCAGGCCAGTCCCAGTGCAGAAGTCAATAACGCAGTAGGAACGTTCACATATGAGGCTTTCTGCATAGCAGCTACCATGGGGTGCACCAGCGCTCGGTGTGTGAACGCCTGCTGCCATCCGCTCTCCTGCCTCCATCACTGACAGAGGCTGGAGGCAGCAGGCAGGTCAGCAGAAGCCAGAAATCATGCAAGATGAGAAATGGCTGGAGAATTGCGACTGACAAGCAGGGGACTCAGAAGAGGCAAATTTTAAAGCCTCATTTCAGTTTTCCTTGTTAGGATGCTGTTAGGACTCCTACAACAATGACAAGCCTGATATTATCTGAGCAATATTGTATGGCTGAGAGCCGAACGAGGCTCTATCGGACCTTAGAATCTCCCCCTCATGTTTTACCTCTGATAGTCAGGAAATTTTGTTTCTGCACTTTGACCAGAAGAAAAATCATCTTTTGAATAAAAAAAAGAAAAACATTGCCAAACATTTGGCAAATACGTTATTTTAATTGTAAATGTGGTAACTATTTGGAAATGTTGATATTTTCTGGCAAGTGCAGCGCACACATGTATGTTATTAGTCACCCAACACATTAGATTTGTGATAAATATACTACTTAAAATAGATTTCCTTAGTGCTTAGAACTTTTGTCTTCTTTATTCAATAAATCTCAAAAACTGTAGCAGATGGAGAGGGGAAAAAAAAACATTTTTGACCTCAGAATGGAATAGTTTGATGGAATTTCAGCAGACAGACGAGTTCTGTGTGTTAATAGCATCATATTCAAAATGGTTACTGCCGTGGATCATGGCGCTGTATTAAAGGCTTATGATAACTATTGCAATAGAGCACATTTAAGTCTAGTTTGGGAAGGATGGAGTACTTTAAGTACTTTATGTACTGCACCTGGTCCTGAATCTTTGCAGTTTTTGTGGTTTGCCATACATTCTATTTTTTTACCAAGTTTTCCTAAGGAAATAAGGCTTATGCAGTGATGTTTGGGATTTTTATCTGTTCCTCCAAAATGAATTTGGAACCATGACCTAATTTTAAGTTTCATATATATTAAAGTCCTGGGAATTTTGTAAAAATAGGTATAGAGGTAGAAGAAGTCGAATCTGTCCTCATAAAGGAAAAATATGATCTCAGGTTGTTAAGCTTCAAGGAGACAGGAGAGCGATTTAGGTATGTTTCAGGCATGGGAAAGGGTTCAAATGGTGGCTGTCACAGTTTTAGACACTGAAAAAGAGCCCTAGGATCAGCTACAGATCTGACTGATTTTGATTATTTTATTATCTTCTGTCCCTGTAAGGAGGAAAGTGACTCCTGTGTGCATTACACAGAAGGAAGGAGACATTTTGCTTCATTTTTAATTGATTTGGGTATTATTCACAACAGCAGCAGCTTACAAGCAAAACCTTGTTTCTCTCTGCAGGTTTGAGATGTGTGACCCACTGAGAGCGCAGGCACATTTGGTGCCCGATGGTGGGTGGTAGAGGAGCGGACTCAGGTCTCGGTCTCACCAACATTTGTAGCATGTTGTTAACTCTGTGCATGTTGATAGCCCAAGTGGGAGTATTTTTATAGGTTTAAGACGAAGCACATGTGTAAGTGTTGGCAGGGTCAGCTCCCATGGGCTCGGTGTTTCTATCAGCTAATGGAGCTGCTCTCTTAACTCAGGTGAGGTTGACGCAAGCGCCTTACAGAAGGTTTAATTCTCACTGACAGCTCATGTTAGCAGCTAAGTTTTCACATTGTTTCTTTGTTTTCACATGGTGCTTTGCTGGGTTATGAATACCTTCAAACTGGTGTACGCCGGCAATTGCACGTGAAAGAAATATTCATTGTCTTTCCAAAACACGTGCCGCAGAAGTCTGAGAGAGCAAACTAAATGAAAGGTCTTTTTACGTGTGAAAAACGTATCAATCTATGCTAACAGCTGATTTCAGCAGCCTCTTCTGTCACACTCCTGTGGCCAGGAAAAGGAAGGTTCTTTCTTTCCTCCAAGAAAATTGCCCCCCTAATGTTACTCTGAGGCGGGGTGAGGAGAGCGAAGAGGAAATTAGTGTTTCTTCTCTTCTCGTCATTTTGTTCCACTCAAAGGCTGTTAGCAGCCAATGAAAGCAGTTGTGCTCCTGTTGGCTGCCGCCTTTGTGTATTAGGCAGAGGGAAATGACAGCCTGCTGTAAAGGAAGGGCCCTTTTCACCAGAAATCATTGAAATTCCCTTATCCTGGCCCTGAACAAGCAAGCAAGGAAACAACAGCAGGAGACGGCGCAATGTGTTGGCAATGGAGGGGAACAGCCATGGAACAATTGATGTGAAAGCCTTCAGCTGAAATCAGCATGTGGCCCATGACGCCGGCCAGCCTGGCCATCCGTAGCTGCAATGAGGTATTTACACCTTGGACAAAGTAAGAGGAGTGCTAAAAAACCATGAGAGAATCATTAGACTGTGTTTATTAACAGCACAGCGCTTTATCTTCAAAGTGTTGCACACAATTAACCAATATATTCAGCAAGAGCAGTAAATGGATAACATTCATTATCACCCAGTCACTATCTTACAACACAGATTTAAAGGGATGAGAAGATGCACTTGAGGCCTTGGGAAGGAAGATTTTTAACCTACTGTTTGAACTGGTGCAGCAACATATTGAAATGCTTTGCGCCGCCTTGTCCTATTGGTCTTTGTTTCACCAGGCAAGAATTGCCCTCAGGGCTGAGAGGGTATTTCAGGGGCCTCCTCTCCCACTTTGGTATCTGCTCATTAGGAGCTAGAATGAAATCAGTTCACTTCAGAGACAGATGCAATTATTCTTGGAGGATTGTCATGGTTTTCAATCAGTTGCAGAAGTGTTCCAAACCCAAAGGTTTTTGTGAACATCCTCACTGAGTACGCACCTGGAAGAGTGGAAATGTGATTGTTCTGAACATAAAACACGACACCTTTTCCAGGTCTGGAGGGGGTGGCTGTGCAATGGCATTTGGATCAGTCCCTAACTCCACTGGCAGCAGCAAAAGCAAGCTATAGCCAGTCCTTCAAGGCAGCCAGATTCCAATTAATTTCTGATTAGCTATAGAAACGATACATAAAGTCAGACATTCCTACATGTTCTCACACAATAATACGTAGATTAGAAGACAAAATCAATTCCAGCAAGAGAATTCAGATCATGGAGAGCTCTTCTAACATAAAACAATATAGCGGTGTTGTTAGTTATCTGAGTATTGTCATTTAGTGAATAACAAACCTTTTCAAAGTCATCTTGTCATTCACGGGACAAAGTCACTTCAATGTGGACGCACAAGTACCAGTTCCAAGAAATGCTGGCAATCTTCTCATTAAGGCTTCTCCCCCCCCGCCTCTATTTCTCCCTCCCACCATCACTCTTTTTTTTTCCCCAGAGAAAGCATTGCACAATAGCAACAAGAGGAAAAATCTGTGAAACTCCAGGTCAACAAGAAAGTCTCATTTCTATTAGATTTGTTGTGAACCTTTAGATTTTTTTTTTTTATGGGTGGCGTTCTCTTGCTGCTTGCTTCTGTAGAGTCTTTGTAATTTTAGGCCATTTGAAATGACTCTGAGCAATCCTTTGGATGTTTTCTAGTGCTTTCTAAAGAAAACCTACTCATTATAAACATCTCTAGCTCCAGTGAAAATGGAGCTTGCGCACAAATACCAAAGTACTTCCTTCTGCTTCTATTATGTTTAGTTTAATGTCTGAGAGATTATTTGTTCAGCTAGGATTTTATTTGTGATTACAACCTGATAAATAGAAAAAGGCAGTAATTAATTTATGGTTTTATTAAACTATCAAAGCTTAAAGTAGTACAA